ACCTTGTTAGAAAGCTGTATTTGTAAATTAATTCTGGGAAAAAAAGAATAACATATAAATAGAAAATGTAAAGAGATAAAAATCAATTCGATCTCACTGAATTCACAGTGTTTCCTTAAGAAATTTAATCCCCTCCTAGTACCCAAGGTTATGGATTATTTCCTCCCAGGATAGAACGAATTACACACTGGTGTAGTGGTACTTCAAACCTCAGTGTTTCAACGAACACAAAGTTCGATAGCAAATCACACTTACTGTTGCTTTGTTTGATGTTAAAAGTATGCAGAAGAAGGAGGAGAAACTCAAAAAATCGTATGGAAATTTGAGAGAATAGACTTGTATTTATAGCCAAAGTTGGGCTGAAATCTAAAGAGGTGCAACTCTTCAGAATGACTGTTTATGCAAAATGGCCATAGCATAAATGCAATAACACAAATGGCTATTTACTCAACAATAAAGAGGAAAAATGGAAGAGGGTAGTTTAATTTTCAGTTACACAACTGAAAAACGGAAAACTGATTGGATTTAATATTAATATTCTGTTGTTAAAACGAATATTTAATAACATTTATGTTAATATTTTACTATTAACAAATAAATTTGGTCCAAAAAATTAATCAATCAATTGATCATTTGACCAAATCCGAATCTAAATTCGAATCCAAATCCAAATCCAAATCCAAATCCGAAGCAGAAGTCGAGCCGAACGACGACGACGACTCTAGGGTTGCCTTCTTCTCAACTCTTTAAGAGCTAGAAGAAGAGCAATTGCTTATATACCCATAAAAAACCTCTTCCTCTTCCAATATGGGACAGTGTTCCTTCATCAAAGGGAAAACTTAAAATTTCATTTCCCTCCATTTCTCATTCACCTTCTTTTAAGCATTTAATATACTTAAAACCCCAACAAAATTTTACGAGGCCTTACATATTCCATGTTCCGGAACAACAATCTGAACTTGATAGCTACAAAGCCAATCCATGGTCAAACTTATAATACTTTTAAACCTTCAAATTACCAACTTTCGGCAAAAAGAGCCAATCATCTAGGAACCTCTGAATCTAATTCCCGGCATACGGCTACGTCCAAAATCACCATACAAACCTATTGGAACAATCAAAACACCATTCCATGATCATTTTCACAAAAGTCAAACCTTGGTCAACTCTTACAACTTAAATTTCCAAATTAAGAACTAGGTATTCCAATTCAATCCAAAACCTTTCTAAAACAAAACCAACCATCCTCGAAAGTCACATAACCACAAATAAGAATAGGGGAAGCATCAAATAGGGGAACATGGCTTAAATACACAAAAAGACTGGCTGATTTGTTACTTTCTCCACGTCTTATACAAACGTTCATCCTCAAACGAGTTTAGAAAAATACTTGAAGTGCCAAAAATATGAGGATATTTTCTCTGTATATCATGCTCGATCTCCCAAGTCGCCTCCTAAATCGATTGACCTCTCTATTGAACCTTCGCCGATGCAATATTCTTCGATCTTAGCTTCTGAACCTGCTTATCCAAAATAGCCACCGGCTCCTCAACATAGATCAAATCCTTGTCCGACTACACCGAGATGTAATCTAACACATTCGATGATAATACTTCCGAAGAATGGAAACATGAAATACGAGATGAACCCCTGATAAACTGGGTGTCAAAGAACGTATGTAGTCCACCTCACCAACTCTCTCTAGAACCTCAAAAGGCCCAATAGACTGAGGGCTCAACTTGCCCTTCATCCCGAACTCCATCACACCCTTCATAGGCAAAACTCTGAGTAGACCCTCTCACCCACCATGAATGCCATATCATGAGACTTCCTATAAACATGTACGAAGTCGCTCCTGAATTAATTTCACCTTCTCAAAAGCATCACAAACTAGATTAGCTCCTAACAACCTGGCCTCCCTAAGCTCAAACCAACCAACTGGAGAATGAAATTGCCTCCCATATAAGGCCTCATAAGGATCCATCTGGATACTCTACTGGTAGTTGTTGTTGTAGGTGAACTCTGCTAACGGTAAAAACTGATCCTGTTGGCCCCTGAAATCAATGACATATGCTAGCAGCATGTCCTCCAAGATTTGAATAGTACGCTCGGACTGCCCGTCTATCTAGGGATGAATGTCGTACTTAGCTCGACCTATGTGCCCAACTCACGTTGAATAGCTCTCCAAAAATATGATGCAAACTGAGTGCCTGGATCCGAGATAATAGACACAGGCATACCATGCAGGTGAATTATCTCTCTAAGATAAATCCAAGTCAGCTGCTCTGAAATGTAGGTAGTCCTGACTGGAATAAAGTGTGCAGACATGGTTAGTCTATCCATAATGACCCACACAACGTCAAATCTCCTCAAGGTCTGTGGTATACCAACTACAAAATCCATAGGGATACGCTCCCACTTTCACTCCGGTATGTCTGGCCTCTGAAGCAGCCCACCCAATCTCTGATGCTCATAATTTGTCCTGATATTTCAAATACCGTGCCACATAAAGAACAATGTCCTTCTTCATCCTTCTCCACCAGTAATGCTTCTTAAAATCATGGTACATATCTGTGGCACTCGAATGAATGGAATATCACGAACTATGGGCCTCCTTAAGAATCAACTCCCAAAACCCATCCACATTAGGCACAAAAATTTGGCCCTGAAGCCTTAATACCCCATCATCACCAATAGTCACTTCCTTTAGCATCATCGTGTTTCACCGTGTCCCTAAAAACAAGCAATTAGGGATCATCATACTGGCTCACCTTGATGCGCTCAAACAAAGACGACAGTAATACAACACAAGCAAGAACACTACTATCCTCCGAAATATCCAAACTCATAAACCTGTTGGCCAAAACCTGAACATCTAAACTAATGATCTCTCCCCAACTAGAATTAAAGCAAGACTCTTCATACTCTCTGCCTTCCTACTCAAGGTATCGGCCACAATATTGGCTTTCCCGGGATGATAAAAATGGTGATATCATAGTCCTTCAGTAGCTCTAACCACCTTGATTGTCTCACGTTCAAATCCTTATGTTTGAATAGGTGTTGAAGACTCTGGTGATCTGTATACACCTCACAAGATATGCCATAAAGATAATGCCTCCAAATCTTGAGTGTGTGTACAATAGCAGCCAAATCCAAATCATGCACTGGGTAGTTCTTCTCATAGGTCTTCAAAGCATAAGCAATCGCCCTACCATCCTGCATCAACACATACCGAATTCCCTTGAAGCATCACAATAGACTGTATATGAACTCGATGCCGAAGGAAAAACCAGAACTGGAGCTATAGTCAAGGCAGTCTTAAGCTTGTGAATGCTCTCCTCATAGTCATCAAACCACCTGAATGGGGCACCGTTATGAGTCAACTTAGTCAATGAGATGCAACAGATAAAAACCCCTCCATAAAGCGGCGATAATACCCGGCCAACCCACAGAAACTCTAAATCTCCATAGCAGTAGAAGGTCTGGGCCCACTCTGAACTGCTTCAATCTTCTTTGGATCCACCTTAATCGCCTCACTAGACACCACGTGACCCAGGAATGCCACCGAGTGTAACGGGAACTCACACTTGGAGAACTTAGCATATAGTTTCTTCTCCCTTAAAGGTTGGAACACGATCCTCAAATGCTGCCCATACTCTTCCCGACTGCAAGAATACACCAATATATCATCAGTAAATACAATGACAAAAGAATCCAGATACGACTGAAATACGTTGTTCATCAAGTGCATGAAAGCTGCTAGGGCACCGGTTAGCCCAAAAGACATCACCAAGAATTTATAATGCCCATAACGGGTCTTGAAGGTTGTCTTAGAAATATCTAAAGCCCTGATATTCAACTGATGGTATCCCGATCTCAAGTCAATCTTTTAGAATACTCTCGCACCCTGGAGCTGATCGAATAAATCATCAATACACGACAGTGGATACTTGTTCTTGATGGTAAACTTGTTCAGTTGCCTATAGTCAATGCACATTCTCATGGAACCGTCTTTCTTCTTCACAAATAAAACCGGATCACCCCAAGGTGAAACACTCATCCTAATGGAACCTTTATCTAGCAATTCTTGCAATAGCTCCTTTAATTCCTTCAACTCAGCTGGAGTCATGCGGTACAGTGGAATAGATATGGGTTGAGTACCCGACACCAAGTCATTACCAAAATCAATATCCCTATCGAGTGGTATGCCCGAAAGGTTTGCTGGAAACACATTTGGAAACTCCCTCACTACTGGAACCGACTCAACGGTAGGAGTATCAACACTAACATCCATCACAAAGGCTAAGTACACCAAACTTCCCTTCTTAACCATCCATTGAGCCTTCAGAAAAGACACCACTCTACTAGGAACATTACCCAAGGAACCTCTCCACTCCAACATCCATAACTCCCCCATAGCCAACATCATGGTCTCAGCGTGACAATCAAGAATAGCATGATACAGAGATAACCAATCCATACACAAAATCACATCAAAATCTATCATATTAAGCAACTGAAGATCAACCCTAGTCTCATAGCACCAAATAGTCACCAAACAATAATGGTAGTCACGATCTACAATAATAGAATTCCCAGCGGATATAGACACATAAACAGGAGTATCCAGAGAATCACGAGACATATCCAGATATGCTATACTCATATGTCTTTGTTCTTATCCAATGAGCCATGTGGCCCAACAAATTACTATTAATGCATTAAAAGTGGGGCCCATACAATGAGAGTATTTTTGGATCAATAGATGGACGAGAGGAAATCTTAAACTATTTACCAAATGATAAATGTAATTTTGACCATTTTCCATTAAGAAAAATACTACATATACATCAAAGGAGGTTATTCTAAAAATATTTCAATAATCACAAAGTGATATATTTATAAGGATTATTTGGAGAAAAATAGTAAATCATCTTACAATTGAACACTGCCAACTGTCTCGTTGACATTAGTAATTAGAATAACTTATACATGAAATGAAGAGAAGCGGATTCGAATCTCCAAAATTAATTTTCAACTAGGCGTTAAGGATGAGTAATGCGGAAGGGGTACTATTTTTGAACATTCTTTAATCATACATGTCATGTGCTTCTTCATACAATGATACAATCACACACAAAATTTGGATGCTCGTATCGTCTCTCTTGCTCGTTGTGCAACGGAATATTCCACAATCCCTCTCCACAAAAAATTCTCTGATTCTTCCATTCTATCATTCTATACTCTAAAACTCAAGCTGACTGTTTCTTTTAATTTCTCCACCTGCTTTATTTGGTAAGTTCTTGACAAGCTAGCGCGGCAGCTGCAGCTCGCAGAGTTTGACGATTTTATGGCGAACACAACTCAAATACTTGGTGGGTTTGGAATCAGCAGAACACGGCAGCATCAACCACCCACTTCGTGAGTACTTCATTTTTATAAAAGCTACTCTCTCTGTTTTACATTTTCGTTTTTTGAGGTTCATGTAAACTTTAACAGACATTTTGAAATGTATTAATTTTTTATGGTATTAACATGAGAAGAATTATAGCTTATAATATTTTTCATATAGTTTTTGACTATTTAAAGTTTAATTTTAAAATATTAAGTTAATCTAATCCAATTTAGCTTTAAAATTTAGTTAAATTTATTTTCGAGAAGAAAAAATATTCACATAAATTGGAAGAGGAAGTAATGATTTTGAACTGTTGATTCATTCTTTGGTACACATTCAAGGAAAAAACCCTAGATGGGCCTGGGTAGCGAGGAATGTGATCACTGATCTTTTTGAACAGTCGTCAGTTCTTCAATTCATCGTTGCCCTTCGAAAATATCCTAATTAAGACTCCCACTTGTCATTTGGCGTGGGGAGATCTATATCTTACCCTCGTACTCTTTTTCCAGTTTACATCATCCAGTCAAAATCAATGCTTTGCAATTGGGTTTGGGGTTAGCCCCAAACAAGCTAAGACAACTTTTAAACGCCATGAGGCTAGGCTCAAGTTTATTTTATTTTGTTCCCACTCACAAGCGGATCCAGAAGTTAAACCCTGTGAGTTCAATTTTTAATATTTTTAGTATTGATCATATTATATTTTTATAAAGTTATGAGTTCATATCAACTATTTTTGTGATTTTAATGAATTTTTACATATAAATTTTTACTGTGCGTCAAAAGTTATGAGTTTAATTGAACCCGTACATAATGCACTATATCCGCCCTTGTTCCTACCCAGTGTCCAGTAGCCACATTGAGGTTTGACTAAAGCTGGATTCGCGCCGATAAATCCCACACTGAGAGTTAAAATGCTTCCTAACAAAGGTGACTCCATACCCAGAGACTCGAACCCGAGACCTCTAGTTAAGGCTGAAGTTGCATGTACAACCACGTCGATAAGTGGGGACATAAATCCTTTTTCAGTCTGTCCTAACCTAATATGTTGTATTCAGAAATAATTTAATTTTAAAGTTGTCTTTTTATTTATTTATTTTATTTTATTTTTAAATTTTAAAAGTTTATTTTTTATTTTTTAAAGCTCATGCTCAGTTAAATAATAGTATCACATAAAACGTAAGTGAGGGAGTACCAGTTGTCGCGCCTTACGTCTTGAGCTTTCCTTGTGTGCCGCACAAACTTCCTCTATGCACCATGTGCATTTGATTGCTCGCGTGTCAGAACTTTTAGTCTTGACTTATGGGATGGTATTTGATTAGGTACAATTTTGTAGAGCAAAAAAATTGAAATTTATAGTTTACAAGTCATATATTTGTGTGATTATAATTTATTTTCTTACGGTAAAATGAGATTTTTGATGTTAAACTTTTCTCTAAATATAATAAGGTATCATTTTTTGTTTGGACATAAAAAGGAATTAGTCTCACATAAATAAGAGAGTAGTTCTTACTTTTATATTTGACTATGACTCGTAAAAAAAAATAATGTGATTAGGAATTCAGTGATACGGTGGAATGTATTTGTTGCATATATTAATGTGATGTGACTAGATGTTTACATCAATTTTTGTATATTTTTTTGAATTCTATACAATATAATATATTTCTACTTTTTCACAGTATTTTCAAAAACTTATTTAAGGCACACTTAAACCCTAAAATTGAGAAAAACTCAACAAAGGCGCTTCGCCTCGCTTAAACTGTGCTTCAGTGTAAAGCAAGGCACTAGGACACGCGTCTCATTGCCCAGGAGTTTTATCATGAATAAAGGGCAGTACATAACAAATATAATAGTAAAACAAGTGTATCAGGTGTAAAGGAAAATATTACGAATGAATTTGTTACTTTGTTCTTGAATTACATATATATTTTTATTTTTTCTTTCATTGCATTTTTTTTCTAAAGCCCGCACTTTAAGTGCTCTTTGCGCTTAAAGCCCCAATAAATCCTTTTTAAATCCTTTTGCCTTTGACAATACTTTTTCATGTGTAATCAACTTCTAAATGTTACTATTCTTTCTCAAAATATTTGGAGTAAAAGTTAAAAAAATTCGTCGGACTATAATTATATTATATTTACGGAAAATGGCCAAAATTGTCCCTAAACTATTGGCCAAGGGCTAATATACCCTCCATTCACTTGTCAGTCCAAAAATGCCCTCAACGTTATCTTTTCAGCTTATTTAAGCCCTTATAACTAACGGTCAACTTGAATTAAATTTCACATGTCATATATTTTATTACTGGTCTAATTCAATTAGATAAATAGAAAAGGGTCAAAAATATCATTGGACTATTGATCAAGGGCTAAATATACTCTCTCTCCACTTATCGGTTCAAAAAGGCTCCCCAAAAATACCTGATTTTCTAACTTACCCAACCCAAATACTAACCAGCCCTGAAAGCATAAAATCTCACCGGAAAAATTATTTTAATGACCATTCTTATTCTACTTCCTCCCTCTTGTTTATTTTGCTTAATATTAATACCTAATTTTTTTTAGTGAACACCTAGGTGGTCAAATTAGTTCGAAATTAATAGGGTAATATTGGTCAGTGACTGACTACTAGTTATTGGACATCATATCCTTCACAAGAAATAAAAAATCAAATTACGGATATTCATTACACCTAGTGTCAATATTATCTTCTTGTGAAAATCTCAATTGAGGCCAATATTTTTCCTAGAATGCTATCTTTCGCTACTTTTTTTTTCATGAGAATTGAAACGATTAAAACCTTATTTATTTCTAATTTGAAGACGTATGAAAGAATCATGATATTTAGCATGTTTTCGTTTATGGTATTTAGCTGCTTATGTTTATAACATATGGTAATTCTATGATTTTTCTATATTTAAATAGATTCTATCTATATATGTGCAATGTATTATTTTGTTGTTGTTAAGCTATTACAAATGAAATGAAGAAAAAAATTAGAGCCTGTTTGGATTAGCGAATAAGCTTGAATTACTGGAAAATATTTTTAACACTGAAACTGATTTTTTAATAAGTATTTTTGTTTTTGGATAGACATGGTAAAACTGATAATAAACAGTTGTTGCGTTTGGTAGAAAAGTATTGATAAGTTGTTCTTTTATTAAAATGACTAAAATATCCTTAAAAGTTTTATAAAAGATTATGAATTAAAAAGTTTCTTTGTAATGAAAAGGATGAACAACGAATATGGAATGAAGAGAAAGTTAGGAAATTTATTTTGGAAAAAATATTTTGGGAATCAAAAGGATAAATTAGTAAAATCTTCGGTCAAACTAAAAGTGCTTATAAGCAGAAAAGCATAAGTTGGGGGTGACCAACTTATGATTTATGGTTGTTTTTAGCTTATAACACTTTGGGTATTTACCAAACGCGTACATAAACCAAAAGGTGTATATAAGCCAGTTTGATCAACTTATAAGTTTAGCCAAACACTCTTTTAGTTTCTTTCTTCGTGATTCTTATAAATTGGCAAAAAAATTCTAGGATAGATCTTTTTAAGGTGAAAAGTGGGTTTATGGCGGGTTTGGCCATTTTTTCAATTGGTGAAATTATTGGGTTATTTTTGGACCGATAGGTCGATCGAGGGTATATATAGGGGCATTTGCATCTATACCCGCTTTTTGTGTCACGTTTTAACTTGTGCCCGCTTTGCAAAAAAAAAAAATTGCAAGCGTACCCGCTTTTTCGCATAACTTCAGCATACGGGGCTGAAGTAGCAAAGACAATCACGCAAAACTTCAGCATTCTAGTAGACGGGCCTCAAGTAGCAAGTGTGCTGAACCAACTGTGCTGAAGTTTTTGTTTTTGTAACTGGCGAAGTTTTTGTTTTGTAACTCGCGAGTTTTTGTTTTTGTAACTCGCGAACTTCAGCTCTAGAGCTGAAATTTTTGTTTTTGTAACTGGCGAACTTCAGTTCTAGAGCTAAAGTTTTTGTTTTTGTAACTGGCGAAAGTTTTTGTTTTGTAAATGGCTTAGTAGATTCCATTTTCTGTTGATTTGAAAACTCGAAAACTCGAAAACGGATTATTTTCAACTTGTTCTCCTTGTCTGCCCGAGAATGCTGGCGTTTTTTGTGCCTTCGTAGCTATGAATTCATTGGTTTTGATTGTCTATCTCTGACAGTTCACAAAATTATCCTACTATATTTCGTGGAACAAACACAAAGATGTCTAAAAAGCAATTTCCCCGATATGCTTCAACCGCAAGTTCCACAAAATGACATTGAATCGTTGTTGAAGCAAGGCTTGTTAGTCTTCTTTTCCCTAGCATTTCAGTCTCAACGTTTTGAGTTAATAATGGTATTGTTATCAATAGAAAGAAAGAAAGTCAAAATCTTGAAAAAACCTGAAGAAATTTGAAGGATAATCCTCCGGAGTGGGAAATGGGAACGGAATTTAAAAAAAAAAAGAAGAGGAAAAGGAAGGAGGAGGAGAAAGGGGCTGAAGTTATTTAAAAAGTGGGTACAAGTTAAAAGTTTTTAAAAAAATGGGTATAGGTTAAATGGGGACGACCAAATAGGGCGCCCCGTGCAATTTTTACGTATATTTAGCCCTTCAGTAATAGTTCAGGGATAGTTTTGGCCCTTTTCTATTTACTTAATTGGATTAGACCAGTAATTAAATAATACGTGGAATTTAAATATATTTTTTTAATTCTAGTTGACCGTTTTGGCATTTTTCCGTTATATTTAAAAAGTCTCACCTTGTGTCTTCCCCTTCTATACATCTGTCAAATTTTGATTTGCTGCTAATGAATAACCAATGAAACAGGTACTTCATGCCAGCAGTACCTATTTTAAGGAGGAGATTTTCTCGCATACAAAGGGTTGAGTGTTCATTCTTTGTTGGAACTATCAACAACATAACGTGTTCCACTACTTCTAAAGGTGCAGACGAGCTTTCGCTCAATCAATCTCAACTTTCAAGGTAATGTATTTCATCTCTTTACTCATCCTCTTTTCAGAAGCATATCAATTAATGAAGTTTGCGATAACTGTTTATTTCCTAAAAATTCTCGTATCATGTGGTGGATTTCTGTTTTGTTGGGCTAACTAAGCCCAAAGATACTGTATAATATTGTTGGGAATCTTACGGAAATGTCCAAAATAAGTCAAAATTTTTCAACCTTTAGCTATTAATCATAGACATACCAAAACTAGTCAAACATATACAAAAATTGAAAACTCAAATAAATAAGGATCTTTCTTTCCAAGAATCACACGCAAATATCTCCTTCTATATNCATTGAAAACATATAAATGAGTCAATATACAAAATTTTTGAGAAAGATTGGAGGTGATTTGGTATCAAAATTCATAGTTAAAATCAAGTTCAAAAAATTCTTTCGCAACACATGTATTAAACATGTATAACGCATGTATCTCACACGCATGTATATATGGATATACATCTGGTACACATTTGATACATATGTGATAAACAAATGATACAGAGCGTGATACACATATCATCTTTTTCTATGTTCATCTTCTACTTCGAATTTTCAATTCAAACTACCTCAAAACTCTACCAAAGCATCCCAAAATTGAAATTTAAACTCCCAAACTGCAGAGCCATATCTCCTTCTAATTTGACTTTTTTTGGCTACAAGTAGCTAATTGGCTAATATTGGTAATATTTATGAATTGGCTAATCTTTGTACTAACTTACTTTTCATAACTGGTAATTTTCCAATAGTGTTTGTTTTGGGTCAATCCATACGGTTGCCCAAAAAGTCTCATACAATTAAGAGTATCACTACACTTTTATTGTGCACGCCCAACTATCCCTCCCTCAAACTAAGTTCCACATGACGTACCCATCACCATGATTCTTAGGCTTATTCGGAGATGCAATATGTGTCACCCACATTATTCGGGTATTTGTGGCTACCATGTTTGTGCATCTCGAAGCTATGGATAAACGTAGTAAATCGGCTCGTAGACGGGAAAAGGCATTATGTCGAGGCCCATGCCATCACTTCGTCATCTACATACTCGTTTGTCTAAACCATTGGCTCTAATATTACTTATTGGGCTAAGCTAGGCTGCTAATTCAAAGATACTTTTATGGTGTGATATTGTTTCCTTTGGCCAAACTGTTTTCCCCTAAAGGCCTCACAGAAGAGTATCCGTACAACTTATCAACTTCTTGATGTGGATATCTGATTTTGATACTCCCTTGCACAAATTAGATACCAAATCAGGTTAGTCTGTGATTGCGGATTTATTGTGTTTCTACTTTGCATCAGAAGGTCAGCCTCTTTTCTACGGCTAGGTGAATGAAGTAAACTTTTGCACATTACATTGTATCTTAGCATATCGAGGAACCCCTAAAATTTAGATATAAACAGTAAGGTTGAAATTACGGCCAGAGATATCTATTGAAAATGGCAGATACAAGTAAAATACTGCAAAGCTGAAATAGGGCTAGAAGTAGTTGTCTGAAAGTAAAGGATGTGAACTAGGCTAATCAATGCCAATATCTGCAAATTGAGCAAGATAAAAGGCCAGATGAAATTCCAACAGCCAAAACCTATGGTCTATTGTACTATGTGAAGTAGATGATTTCTTTTGGTGGAGTGCTTATCCCTGCTCAGAGCTCTTATATTCTTCAGTTTCGTCTTTCTCTAGGGAATTTATCTTCTTTGGATCCTAAGAAGCCTATAGAGGGAGTTATGGAATTATAGTATTATCTTAGCTCCAGTTGAGTTCTTTTTTGTCCATTTTCGTTGAACTCCTGGCCATTGGAGTATTTCTTTGCCATATCTTATTAATAAAATTCTGATTTTGGAAGAGCAGGCTAAATATTATTTTAGATTGTTGTCACAGAACATCTTGCATTACTATTTATCCCATGTACAGACTAGTTAACACTGGCTGCAAACTAGTAGGATGTGGCTCTGCAGTACCAAGTCTGAAAGTTTCCAATGATGATCTTGCAAAAATTGTTGACACTAATGATGAATGGATATCTGTAAGGACCGGGATTCGTAATCGTAGGGTTCTTTCAGGTGAATCTTCCTTTGATCTTGATGCATACTACCTATACAGGTTATCTTGTTCTTCTCTTTGACAAAAAAATGCAATAGAAGCATGATGTGTTAATATATCAGCCAATTGTTTAGTAATATTTGTTTCATTCCTCTCCTCTGTCCATTATAAAGATCTTTCCTATTTCAATTTACTGCATACATTTGAATTTTCTTCTAGTTAAAATTATGCTGACCTGTTAGCAAATGTTGTCTGTAACTCTGATGTTTATGGGAAATATCAGAACACATTTCCATACGGCCGCAATCTGATATATGCTTGTGCAGGCAAAGAGAATTTAACAGGTCTGGCTATAGAGGCTTCAAGGAAAGCTCTAGAGATGGCAGAGGTTAATCCTAAAGATGTTGACCTAATTTTAATGTGTTCTTCAACTGGAGATGACCGTTTTGGCAGTGCTCCCCTGGTATGACTCGGTAAAGTAGCAATTATTTCTATATCTTGGAGCAACAAAATTCACTAGTTTTTACAGTAGATTAGTGTAGATTTTTGAGATGAAGAAAAAGCTTCTTGTATTTCTGTGTATTTCTTACGTCCCTAAGCAAAGGTATTTATACACTAATTTCTATGACTATTTTAGAAAGGAAAATAAATTATAATCAATTACAATCAATCAGAATAAAATCAAATCTCAACCAGAATCAAATCATTCTCAATTAGAATCAAATCTTTCCTAATAATTTAGTCAATCAACACTCCCCCTCAAGTTGGTGCAAAGATGTCGCACATACCCAACTTGCAAACCAGTGTATGAAAATTTCGTTTGTTGAGACCCTTGGTAAACATATCAGCTAATTGTTTTCCTGATGGCACATGAAACAAACTCAATACGCTACTTGTAATTTTTTCTTTGATGAAGTGTCGATCAATTTCCACATGCTTTGTTCGGTCATGTTATATTGGATTATGAGTTATAGTGATGATAACCTTATTGTCACAAAGTAAAGTTTTCCTTTTCTAGACAGTCTCAATTCCTCTAGTAGCTTTTGTAGCCAAAGCAGTTCGCAAACAACCTAGGTCATAGCACTATATTCTGCCTCCGCACATGATGTAACAACTACACTTTGCTTCTTGTTTCTCCAAGTAACTAAGTTTCCTTCTACGAGCGTATAGTAACTGGATGTAGATCTTATGTCATCCAGAGATCTAGCCCAATCCATGTCTGTAAAGGCTTCTATTTGGAGGTTATCATGTTTGGAGAAAAGTAGACCTTTCCCTGAAGCAGACTTTAGATACCGCAAAATATAAAAGACACCTTGCATATGAGGATCTCGGGGATCATGCATGAACTGACTCACCAAGCTAACTAAATAGGCTATGTCCGGTATAGTGTGGGAGAGATGAATGAGTCTTCCAACCAACCTCTGATATCTCTCCTTATCAACCGACTCTCCAACTCCGCTTTGTAACTTGTGATTGCTTTCAACGGGCGATTCCACGGGTCTGCAACCTGTCATACTAGTTTCTTTCAAGAGATCCAGAATATACTTCCTCTGAGAAATAGAGATTCCTCTTTTTGATCTAGCAACCTCAATTCCCAAGAAGTACTCCTAGATCCTTGATCTCAATACCATGTGCCAATAACTTCTTCAATCGGGCCATCTCCTCTCATTACTATGTCATCAACATAAACTATGAGAAGAGTGAGTTTACCTGTATGATGTCTTATGAAGAGGGTGTGATCAACATTGCTTTGTTGGTAACCAAAGGAGATCATTGCTTTGCAGAATTTGTCAAACCGAGCTCTGGGGGATTGCTTCAGTCCGTACAAGGCCTTTTTCAATCTGCATACCTTTCCTTGACTTTGCGCAATATGAAATCAAGGAGGGATCTCCATATACACTTCTTCTTTTAAGTCTCTATGAAGAAATACATTCTTCACATCAAATTGTTGCAAGTCCCAATCAAGATTAGCTAGACAAGACAAAAGAATTCTAATAGTGTTCATCTTAGCAAAAGGGCCAAATGTCTCTTGATAATCCACTCCATAACTCTTAGCCACCAATCTTGCTTTGAATCTTTCAATCAAGCCAGCAGTTTTATGCTTCACAGTGAAAACTCATTTGCAGCCAACCAACTTCTTGTCTGGTTGTGAAGTGACAAGTTCCCAAGTCTCATTTTTTGACAAAGCCTTCATTTCTTCAATCATAGCTTGCTTCCATTTAGGATCTGCAAAAACTTCCCTCCAATTCAGGGGAATAGACACAGAAGAAATAAACAAGGCAAAGGCTCTATAGGAGGGAGACAAAGAATTATAGGAGACAAAATTAGATAAAAGGTGTTTGGTGGTGCAAGATCTGACTCCTTTTCTGTGAGCAATAGGTTCATATAACTCATTAGGAAATGTAGATAACTTACCAGTAGAAGAAAGTTAAGCTTTAGTAGATTGCATGATGGCTTCTTTTGCTCTATTTTATCTTGAGTAAGTTTTCAAATCAGGCTATCCAAATGTCCAATAGTTTCCCCCGGAATTCTTCTCCAATTTCATTTTCCCCTGTGACAAAGTCATCAAGAGGTCCAGTAATAGAACTAGGCAGAATCCCCTCTTTCTCCTTACTTCTCTCCCCCTGAAGAGGTGATGAGGTAATACTGAAATAGGGCTCAGATTCTCGAAAAGTAATATCCATGCTAACAAAAGATCTCCTACAGGGAGGATGATAACATTTGTAACCTTTCTTTGTCGGGGAATACCCACAATGAAAACACATTTTATAGCTCTAGGACCAAGTTTCCCGGAATTTCTAGTATGGACAAAGTAAACACACCCAAACACTTTTGGATGAACAATATATTCATTCTTATACTTTAAAGCTTCCAGAGGACTTTGAAAATTGAGGGTTTTAAGTGGCATTCTATTGATAAGATAGACAACCACTTAAATAGCATCCCCAATAAGGTTTTGGTGGATTCATGGTGAACATAAGGTCGTGCTACTTCTAATAAGTGCCTATTTCTTTTTTAGCGACCCCATTTTGTGTACTAGTGTACGAACAACTAGTCTGATGGACTATCCCATTGGACTCCAAATAAACACCAAATCTTTTATCCATGTATTCACTGCCATTGTCAGTTCTCAAGATTTTTATTTTGGCATCAAACTCAGTACAAATCATCTTATGAAATGATTGAAAACAAGAGAAAACTTCACTTTTGGCTTTTAGCAAATAAACTCAAGTCCTCCTAGTGCAGCAATCAATGCAAGTAACAAACCATCGACTATCAGACAATGAAACAGTTTGTGTTGGACCCCGTACATCAGAATGAATAGTCATAAACGGAGTTATGCTTCTATTGTCACTCACAGGATAAAAGTTTCTAGTATGCTTGGCATATTCACACGCATCACAAAACAAAGATTCAAATTGAGTCCTTGAAAACAAATCGGGATATAACCTCTTCAAAACAAAGAATGATGGGTGTCCTAATCGTCTATGCCGCTGTATTATTTCTTGGTTGACATCCTTACTTTCCCGAAAAAAGGCTTGACCGGAGTTTTGAATTCCATCTAATATATATAAATCATCATACAATCTACCACTGCCAATCCTTTTCCCTGTTTGAAGATCCTAAAAATTACAATGATCGGAAAAGAACTCGATTTTACAGTTTAGAGCTTTGGTGATGGCACTAACGGATAAAAAATTGATAGGGAACTCAGGGACATAGAGCACGGATGATAGTTTAATATTAGGAGTGCAAACGACAGACCCTGTTCCAGAGATAGGTGTTACAAAGTCATTGGCTATTTTAACATTATCTCCTTTGAGACACGGAGAATAGTTTTGAATGCCTTTAGAATAGCCTGTCATGTGTCTATTTGCACCAAAATCAACAATCCAAGAATTAAGGTGAGCAGCAAAGGCAATACCTGATTGCACATAATTGGATGTGGCAACATTAGTGGAGTCAAGTTTGGTTAAGAGGGGACGAAGAAGTTGAATTTCATCCGAAGACAAGATTTCTCCAGAAATCGTCTTCTTGAATGTCTCCATATTTTCTGCCCAATCAGAAGGAAATCTAAAGAAAATTGCTCAAAAAATAATCTGCCTCGCCGGAAATAAAATCTTTCTCAACGGAACCCAAAGGGGTTTGTGTTGTGAATAGCCACCAAGAGAGAGAAAACTCGACCTCTTTGATAAAAACGGAACCCTAGTGCTGCGAGGGAGATAACTCACCTCAAAAAGGTCGCAATGGCTCTGATACTTGTAGATTTTTGAGAAGAAGAAAAAACTTCTTGTATTTATGTGTATTTCTTACTTCCCTAAGCAAAGATATTTATACACTAAGCTATTGCTATTTTAGGAAGGAAAATAAATTATGATCAATTTACAATCAATCAGAATAAATCAAATTTCAATCAAAATCAAATCTTTTTCAATCAGAATCAATTCTTTCCTAATAATTAAGTCAATCAACAATTAGTTATACCGAAATAGTTTTTTCCGTTTGGAGTGGTTTTGCTAATTTTGAGTAAAGCGTTGGGAAAGAAACTGCATTTGTGCTCACTTTTATTCATAGGGATAGTATGAATAACCAGAATAAAAACATGAAATGCATGTGCCATGGAGCTTCCGAGCTCAGAGGCCGGTTCTTCTTTTTTCTCACTTCTTGTTTCTCTATTTTGACCTACAGAACACAGCGCACATCCAGCAATTCATTCACAATATACAGTTTAATTCTCGTGGTGCATTTTCTAAGCTTGGAGTTGTTGTCCCGCTTGAAACAATTAAGTGCAGCTCCTTGCAGAGATAAGATAAAACTTGTGCAAAGTAATCATTAACCCGATGAATAAGAACTAGTTGTTAGATAGTTATGGGTAAATAGTCTCATATATGGTAGGAGTAGAATATGTCCTAGGCCCATATGTGGTAGAATGTGTCTGAGTCCCATATGTAGTAGGAATAAAATATGTCCTAATCCCATATGTAGTAGGAGTAGAATATGTATTATATATAGGGCTCATTGTATTATTATTAATAAATAGATTTTTCTCCCATGCATTCTCACATGGTATCAGGGCTTCTTTGAGAAAATTATCGTTGTGTGTCATTCCAGCGACATCCGGGAAGAAAGATCTCATCGTTGTGCAATTTTCCGGTAACTTCGTCTTGTTCCCAGGGTTCAACACTGCTACAGTGATACTGCGCATATACCAGTACTACCATCAGATCTGAAATCCTTGTGCGATCAAACTCCAGAAACCTCAGTCCTATTGGAACAGAAAAGTCAGTCACCGTGCGTCTTTTCGGTTGACGACTCAAGATTGATTTGCGTTATCTCCTCATTGGTAAGTGTTGTGTGAAAACCAACACTACCATCTTGTTCGGAAAAGTCAGGCGACAAAACTCCAGTCAATCGTTCCGGTAGAAAGTCCCTCACGCGCCTCCACGCGCCGCCAGAAATAGGGTTCCGACGAGCTACAATAACTTTTCCGGTGCGTGTGAGCCATTCCGGCCACTTTTTGACAAAACTTCTTCAGGACAACTTACTCGTCCTGTTATCCCGAGCCTACCAATATAAATTACATTAAATTCTGACAACTTTTATTTTTTCCAGCGTGAACAGTTATTTTCCTGCGCGTGAATAGTTATTTCCAAAAAAAAAATTGTTTTCTGGTGGTGTTTTAGAACCTATTTTGTAGTGTGGAATTCGGTTTAGTCTCACTATTTTCAAATTTTTCCGGCAACGTTTCGGCCAACTTCTGTTTATTAGCAATCACCTGGTTTTGTTGCTTAGGGCTAGGTCAAATGATCAGCTTGTAGATATTTTCACCAAGTCTCTTACTGGTCCTCGTATTAGTTACATATATAACAAGCTCGGTACATATGATTTGTGTACTCTGGCTTGAGGGGAGTGTTAGATAGTTATGTGTAAATAGTGCTAGTCCCATATGTAGTGTAGGAGTAGAATATGTCCTAGTCTCATATGTAGTAAGTAGAATATGTACTATATATATGAGACTAGGACATATTCTACTCCTACTATATATAGACTCATTGTACCATTGTTAATAAATAGATATTTCTCTCGTACATTCTCACACCGGCAATGATTTTAACGTTTTACCAGATGTTAAGAACATGTTTCTTTTTTCATTTCTTGGTCTTGATATGAAAATTGAGCATCAAACGTGTTTCCCTCATAGTGATATAAACAAAAGCAATGGAGAGTTGATAATTCGATATAAGGTTGCTCTTCTTGGGGACTGATTGAACTTCTTTGGCCACAGCCCACATGTGATCTTACTATAAATCTGGATTATTACAGATCGCAATTTTGAAGTGAAATGCTTGGCTCATTTAATTGGTGAATGTTGCAAAACTGCCTTGTTTTGCTGGTTAGACTGACTCGAAAGTGTTTCGTTGATGTTTAAATCATTATAGCTTCTCCATCCTGAAAATTTGACTGGGGATACATTTACCTACTCAAGTTTTATTTCCTTTCTTGTGTTTATCTATTCTCTAGTTCTTTCATGGATTTTGAACTCACAGCTTTAACCATGCTGCTTCAGAATTTATGGGTAACAATTGATCAGTTTCTGATACTAGTCTGTTGTTAGATCCAAAAAGCACTCGGCTGCAAAAGCAATCCATTGGCTTTTGATATTACAGCTGCTTGTAGCGGGTTCTTGCTGGGTTTGTTTTCTGCTACATGCTACATCAAAGGTACAATTTTGCCATCGATGAAGTTCTATGAATTGTATAATCATTCCTTTGTGGATATACCTATGTATTAAACGTTGAATACGTAGCTAATGCTGCTGTTTTATTTGTTCCTGGATATGCTCTGGTAATATTTAGATTTCTGTTTCCTATTGCAGCTGGTGGTTTTAAGAATGTTCTTGTAATTGGGGCTGACGCAATTTCTCGCTGTGTTGATTGGACGGATAGAGGTTCATGTATTCTCTTTGGGGACGCTGCTGGTGCTGTGCTTATGCAGGTATTGATAAAGGAGTGTTTTTGAACGAATGGAAAACAGGGGGGCATACTTATTCTAGGTTTTCTTTCTTCAGGACGGACTAATCTTTAAAAAAAATCATTTTTGTGACCTCGTGTCTTGTTCTGTTGTTGCCAATTACAAAAATTCTTGTCCAGCAATGCACATTTCCTATATCCATGTTTCTCAAAATTCACATTAACATTTTTCTTAGGCCTGTGATATTGGAGAAGATGGTTTGTTTGGTTTTGACTTGCATAGTGACGGTGATGGTAAAAGGTATGTATAGATTAGTCGTGTTATGTTAGGATAAATTACTACTGTGCTTTTATCGACACTAACTAGAGTGGTTTCCACCGTCAGGCACTTGATTGCTCCTTTTATAGAGAATGAAACAGAAGACGGATCAAGTACAAGTCATTCTGGGAGTGGTTTTCCACCCAAAGGTTCCTCTTATTCCTGCCTCAAGATGAATGGCATAGAGATCTTTAAGTTTGCTGTCCGTGTTGTCCCACAATCAATTGAAGCAGCTTTAGACAAGGCAGGTTTCACTCGATCTGATTTTGATTGGTTGCTCCTCCATCAGGTATGATTTTGAGATAGAAATTTCCGCACATGATTTTCGGCCCTTCATCATACTTTTGCTAAAAATAATCTTTCCGCACATGCGTTGCACATGTATATCGAGTCATGTTGTGCATGATTCTGTATAATACCAATATTAATAAATTAATACTAAAGAAAAAAGTACAAGTTTTTATGGATATAATCAATATGGATTGCCGTATGATGACTTATTTGTCGAAGACAAGATGATCACATATAGGGGCGGATTCAGTTCAATAGTTACGGTTTCCCATGAACCCAGTAGTTTTTGTCTAGAACCTATATTTGTATTGAAAAATCCGTTAAATGTATAAGGATATTAAGTTTGGAACCCAGTCCTTCATCCAGTTAGTATTGTTTATTAACTCAGATTTTTGTAGGAACCCATAAACCTAAAATCCTGGATCCGCCTCTGATCACATATCATATGAATCTGCAAAGATGAACATTAGGAGTTTAATTAGATACAAGGATTAGTCATGATTAATAATGCATAGATTAAAATGCAAAGATATAACTTATTGGATGTTTGATTAATTTGTTATATTAAAAATAAATATACAATGTACATAACTTATATATTTTTCTTTTTGTTTACAATTATAGCCTTGACCTTCTTTAGCTGGGTATGTTTCCTTTTCCTAGCTTTAGTTATTATATTTTTTTTAAAAACCTTTGATTTAATTTGGGTTTTCTCTCTTAATAAATTATGTTTCACTCAAGAGATAAGTTCATAAAGATCATCAACCCTTAAATAATATCGGATGTAAATATCACATGTTCTCGTGATTTTTAAAAGTGAAACATCTTTTAAGTATAGACACGATTCTCCCAATAATATAATATATTTTCTACCATCCCATAAATTAAAAGTAAAGTTCCAGATGATCTTATACAAGTGAAATTAGGCAAAATGCCTTAAAACCCCCCTAAATTTAGCACGGATTATTAGTTACAGCCTTAAACTATTTGTGGTCTTAATTACCCCCTCAACTTGGCCTTTTGAGAGCCATTACCCCTGGATGTTGATGTGGCAAAGTGTGGGTACACTCGCCTGCCACGTGGACTTTTCTGTATATGTGGCATTTTTTGAAAAATAAAATATATTTTACCTTTTTATATTTGTTACTTTTCTAGATAATTTTTTTCTAATACAATTTATAATAAAACTTGGATAGAAATACATTATTTAGGCTAAATTTTTTTATTTGGCTAAAAATAATAAAGTTTTAGTTAATCTTTTTTTGAATTTGACCTGAAAATAAAGATTTATACAATTGAAATAAATAGTCAAGGCATCTAAAAAATTATAAAAAATACATAGTTTGAAATTAATTCTTTTGGCTATAATTTTTTATATAGCTCTAAATTATGGTGTTCAAAAAATAATTTTTTTTACAGATTTTATTTGAAAAAGTAAAAATACACAATTGAAATAAATAGTCATTGCATCAAAAGAAAAAATAAAAAGAGTGTACAATTGCAAGAAATAAAACGAATCACTTGCATTATACTGCAATTGTATAATGCAAATTCAAGTTTTATTTAGTTTTCAGATCAAATTCAAAAAAAGATTAACTAAAATTTTATTATTTTTAGCCAAATAATAAAATTATTCTAACTAATGTAGTTCTATCCAAGTTTTATTATAAATTATATTCGAAAAAAATTATCTAAAAAAGTAATTTTTTCAAAAAGATAAAAATATATTTTATTTTTCAAAAAAATGTCATATATACAGGGAAAATCCACGTGGCGGGCGAGTCCACCCATACTTTTTGCCACATCAGCGTCTAGGAAGGTAATGACTCTCAAAAGGCCAAGTTGAGTAGGGTAATTAAGACCACGGATAGTTTAAGGCTGTAACTAATAATCCGTGACAAGTTTAGGGGAGGGAGGGGTTAGGGTATTTTGCCATGAAATTAAGAAGGTAGAACCGGAGTGTGTTACCATTTCTCTTTGAATTCACTGCGCTGCACTTTGATGTTGTGTCTGGCCATCTTCATAGTGAAAGTCGTTTGATCTCGTAAGGAAAACATTTCACACTTTTTTTCTTCCGTCTTCAAAGAAATTTATACCAAAATCTAAGATCTTGCATGTCCATTCGCTCTACAAGATTGAATGGTACCACCATTGCATAAAATAAAAAAAAGTAGTTTGGTGCACTAAGCTCCCGCAATGCGGGGTCCGGAAAAGGGCCAGACCTCAAGGGTCTATTGTACGCAACCTTAACCTACATTTTTGCAAGAGGCTGTATTTTTACGGTTCGAACTCGTGACCTCCTGATCACATGACAACAACTTTACCAGTTACGAGAAAAAATTTAAATTTCAGATGTATTCCGAGAAAAGTTTGATTCTCAAGTTACATTCATATATGACACGTTATCTTTAGACAATATTTTTCAGATTTGTTGATCACGCCCAACTATGCCTTATAAAAAGGACAATGCGGTCGATGCAAATATAATCCGGTTTACAAGTTCGGAGTCGAATCCCACAGAGAACTAAGGTTTAGCTACAGTTGTTCACTATCACCAAGAAGACA